GGTTTTAGAGCACTCATTTGTTCATTCCTGGGCACCTGCTATGTGCCTGCCCTTAAGGAGCTCTCAGTCTGATGAGAGGCAGGGTCCTGCACACTGTGGAGCAGGCATGCTAGATGCAGTGGGAGCCCAGCTGCTGTCAGTGACCAAAGCACCTGGAGCTTCTCCGCAGGTCTCTTAGGCCTATGGCTCTATCCTTAACTTTTGGCCTCACCTGCCCCCTGGGCCCCCACCCCCACCAGGAAAGTAAGGTTCCTGGACAGGCCTCCCCAGGAGCCCTGCCAGAAGAGAGGTAGTGATGGGCAAGGAATAGATCCTCCAGGTAGAAAAAGTTCTAATAATAATGATCCTAAAGGCAGTGACTGGTGTTCTCATGGCCCAAGCCCTGCTCTGAGCACTTGGCCTGTGTTAACTCGGAATCCTCCCAACCGCCCCATGAAGAGGTACTGAAGAAGTAAGGGTGAGGCCACAGGGGGACACTCAGGTCATGCCCCTGATGCCAGGTTTCGAGGGCTTAAATTGCAGGGATTCAAAGCAGACATATGGAAGCACTTCCCGGCCGCAGAGGCTGTGCGAAGCTAAACTACCCAGTTCAGAGCAGACACTTTTCTGGGCCACGCTCAGACGGTTTATAGGGGGAAAGGAGGAGGGGGTACCAGATGACCTCATTCATTCAAATGTATTGAGCGCCTTATCCTGCCAGGCGCTGATCTCACCCTGGTGGAAGCGACAGATGGGGCGAAAGCATTCAGTGCAATGCGTGCCCAGCGCTGGACTGTCTGGGGACAGGGCGGCAGCTCCGCCTGCAGGGGTGGGGGCACCCGAGGAAGGTATCCTGGGGTTGCCTGATCCCTTGACCTCAACCCAAGATGCACAATGTGTGGGGTCTTTGAAAACCCCAAGGGCCCAGGGGCGCGGGCTGGGCATCCTAGCTCTCCCTAAGCGTGACTCGCGTGACTAGAAGCGGCCGGGACCCTCAACGTCAGCGCTGCCCGCGCTCGCTCCGTCATTTCCGGTCGGCTGGGTTAAGGGGGGCGGGAGGAGTGGGCTGTGTCGACTGTGCCAACAGGCTGTCGTGTCACGTTCCCTAGCCCGCCCCGCGGGGAGGGCGTTTGCATCCTCTCCTACGGGCTCCGAGCTGCCCCAGGAGTCCGTATCTGTACTCTGGTCCCCACTCCAGGATCTGGGTTTGCATTTCCCGGGAGCTCGGATGGGAACTCAGACGTGCTCTTGGTCCTCAGAGTGTGAAACCGACCCCAGGGAAGTCATAATGCCCAGGGCTTGGGGGACATCGAGTCCATCAGTGCCCGGTCTTGATGCCTCCGACAAGAAACACCATTAAACAGATCTGCCTGATACACAGATGAAGCACCGAGCTCTGGGGGTTCCCTAGGTCAGGTTGTTATACATCCCACCTGTGGCCACAGCTCACTAACCCTCTACCCTGCTTAGAGGAAAAGGCCTGAAATGGACCCCACGCTTTGTTGGCTGGTAGCTCAGGGAGACTGACTAAGTCAATTTCCTTTTTCAAAGGCAGTTCTGATTTTCCTCTTCATGGAATAATTTAGAAAATACTAACCCTGCTCTGAAGGCATGCAGAGTGATCCCACTGGGTAAGGACCCTGGGGTTGGGAAGAAGCAAATCAGGCAAAGGGCCTAGCACAGGCCTGGTACACAGCAGGCACCCCATCCCTCAGCCAGCCACTGCTCTGTGGGTAACCTGGGCCTCCACCGCCTGTCCCCTGCAGAGGCTATCAGGGAGGCCCACCAACCTGGCAGAGTTGGTTGCTCAGCTTCAGCCCAGCCCCACCCCACACTCCTCATGAGATTCTCAAGGAAATCCAGCCTGAAACACCCTGCCCAGTGCTCTATGGACAATGAGAATCCAACCTTTGTGACATGCTTGACCTTGCCAGGCATTGCTTCTGGGACAGGGGCACTGGGAGGATGGCTACAGGAAAGGAGAGTTATTTGGGTAGAGGCACGCTAAAGGTGTGGCCAGTGTGGCAAAGGCCGAAGGCTGGGAGATGACCCAAGAGATGGATGTTTTTCAAACATGAGGTTCATCTAAGTCATCACTGAAAACATCCTTAGCTCCGGGGAGTGGAGGTGAATCTTTAGGTTGGGGGCTGCCTTTCATTGCTCTGGCAAGAGGAGGGCCCTGCTAGCATGCTCGCTGCCCCCGCTTTCCTCTGGGGAACTTCCTATGCTCCCTAGGGACAGCCCTGGCTCCTGTAATTATACTTTCACAGAGCTGCAGAATGAAGAAATAAACAAATGGGAGGGGAACTTGGTGGGTTTGGGGTCCTGACCAAATCCTTCTGGACCTCAGCACC